GAAATTTGATTTTGCACTCAATTGCATATTGCTTTACTTGCTAGAATGTGAATTGCTTTACTAGCTAGAATTAGGAGTCTGCCCTAGGTATCCATTTCCTCATGAAATGTGTACCATAATCTGGACAGGACTAAGAGGCTTGCTCAAAAGCTTTCTCAGCACCAAAAAGGAGTAGTTCTAGTTTTGAGGACCCCTCATTCTTACCGTAACTGGAGATAGCAGAAGTAGCACTCCATAAGTAACTGAGAGCTTCCATTTTAATTTCCCATAATGACCCAAAAGGACAGAAAAACTTTAAGGCACTGAGGAATTTAAAAGCTGCCTGAGATGGAAGATCCCAGACAAAGATCTTGGTGGGGCCAGCCATGACACTGGCAGCTGCCCTAGAATGTCAGGTTCTGGTGCCTTACTATGTGATTTCCCACTTACCCTTCCTGCCGCCACAACACATTTGCTGGAATTAATTTTATGATATTTTAAGTGTGTTAATTTGATTTTAATTCTACTGTAGTTTAATTTAGTTTTAAGGGGTGGGAGGGCTAGGGTGTCGGTTTAAGGAATGTTTTAACTGTTGCCTTTTTAATTGGTTGTACACCGTCCCGATTGCCGAGCAGAGGGGCGGGTTATAAATAAACATTTATTATTATTATTATTATTATTATTATTATTATTATTATTATTATTATTATTATTATTATTATTATTATTATTATTTGTAATACTACAGCTCACTGGCTGCTGAAAATGTTCAAACAATGAATTTCAGTATTAAGACCAGTAAGACCAGGAACTCTCTACACATCTGATAGGGCCAAACCAAGATGACAACTAATTTTGACAATGAGGAATCTGTCCTGTGAATTTGCCGAGTGAAAAGGCTGGGACTTCCTCCTCCGAAGTAAGGCGCCATCAGAGGACTGAACCTTATCCTTTCTAAATTAACAGGATCATATAATGATCTACCCATGGATTAAACTAAGGGGGAACTGCATGACTGCCATAATTCATGGAAAATGTAGAGCATGGTACTGGATGCAGATTTCACTTTCCTGAGAATTTAAAGGTTAATTTTCAGTTAATGAAACTGATGCAAACAAAGAGGTACTTGGAAATGCATAGGCAATGATATCAACCTACCAGAAGCATTAGTGAACAAAATTTCCTAGTAGTCAAAGGGAGCCACTGTAGTACCCCCTCCACAGCTTCTTCCTATTCCCCTGACCCTGACTAGAAAAAGTACTGTAGATGCAATTACAGTGGGTGCTTGGTATCTGCTGTGGTTTGTTTCCAGGACCCCTGTAGATACCAAAATCTATGGATGCTCAAGTCTTATTATATAAAGTGGCATAGTAAAATTGTGTTCCTTATATAAAATGGCAAAATCAAGAGTTGCTTTTGGGGGAGAGGAAAACAGGAATATTTTCAAGCTAAGGATGGTTAAATCCATGGATGCAGCATCTGTGGATGCAGAATCTGTTGATACGAGGGGCTGGCTGTATGTAAAATAGGGGAATGGTAAGTGTTGTCAAAAACTGAACTTTTCAAGCTACAGAATTTCAAATGTCACTGTTGTTCTGATTAGAACAGGCAGGACTGAGTTCTTATCCCATCCTACATGTTTCCTGATTGTGAGATACTGCATTATATCTGCAACAGAGGAACCCTGAAGAGTGAGCCAGTGGATGGGACCTCCAACCAAGGTAAAACAATTTTTTTCTTCTTAAATCTGAACTGGATTGGCCTGTTTTACCTCAACACCTATCAAAATGTTCCTGATGCAAAAACATGAAGACTCACTGAGGAACCCAATGTACTCTGCCTACAAAGAGGCCTGTGACCTCATAGGAATGGAGGCATATTGGATTGCAAGAGAGGGGTCCTTGTTGAGATGCAAATGGATTTTAAATTTCCTGGTCTTTGCAAATCTCCCAATAGCCACATGGACAGAAGGAGCAGAGGCCAGCCTGAAAAAGATACACTCCCTTTACCATCTTAACTAAGGACAGAGACATCCAAATGCAGGCATCTGACTAGCATCTCCAATTTTTTCTCCTGTTTGGTTTGTAACATCTTACCTGATGAAGAAGCCAGTGAAGCTTCAAAAGCTTGCAACAAGTATATTGTGTGATTTGGTTGGCCAATAAAGGTATCACTGTTTGGTGGATTTTTGTTTGTATTCACCACTAGTTTAGCTCTGATCCAGGGATGTCATTTTGTTGTTGTGTGCCTTCAAGTCATTTCTGACTTATGGCAACCCTAAGGTTAACCTATCATGGGTTTTTCTTGGCCAGATTTGTTCAGAGTAGGTTTGCCTTTGCCTTCCTCTGAGAATAAGAGTGTGTAACTTGCCTCTGTGTACTTACAGGGGGACCAAATGAGGGCAATGCTCCCCAATGATACTTTCCTTCAGTCCCCAAATTTATGACATTGAAGTAACTTAAAACTTCAGTTGAGCTTTTAAAAATACAATTTAGGAACCAAACAAAAGTGACAGGCAAAGTTACCAAGGGAAAGTGAACACGGGGCCTCTGCAGACAGACACCATCCTGATGCCATGCGCCGTTATGCATGGCACGTAGCATCAGGATGCCCTTCCAGTGCAGCATTCAAACACACTGTGCCAAAAAGGGCACTGAAGAGCCACACGCTCTTTTCGAGGCGGCAAAAGGGAGTTGCCGCGACCCCAATCCGCCACTTCCCAGGGCAGCCCAGAGCAACCCGTCTGCAGTCCCCCACAGCGAATATAATAAGGGTCTAGGTACAAATGGTTTTCAGTTTCTCACCCTCTGCAATTCTAGAAATCTGAGGACTAAAGGAACATTTCAATGGGAAGCAGAATTCTTATTGGGGGCAATAGCTTCATTTTGCCATTGTCCCCACAGCTAACTCCTGCTCTGATTTCTCATATATACAGAATGGGGTGCAAACTTTAGTCAGAGAGTTATCCAATAAGCTTACAATCCTATGCACATTTACCTGGAAACATGTCCAGATACAAATCAGGTGGACATTTGAATAAACATAAAAAATATTTGACTGCATTAGTTGGTTAATTGAGGAGGGCAGATTTTAAATTCCAGGGCTTGAGCTACGGCATACTTCTGTATATTTTCATTCTGTGTTGTCACTGTTATAGTGAATGAAAATATATATTTTCAAGATGGCTCCTAACAATAAGCAGTAACTTTTTTGCTCTATTTTTTTTTACAACAGTAGTGATCAAGTTTGGTACCAACAAGAGGGCAACCTGGTTCGATCTCCTGCACCCAGATGGGCACATGAAAGGTAGACTGGAAATGCATTCAATTTGGAAAATGCACTTAGTTTGGAAATGCACTCAAATTGAAAAAGCCTCCAGGACATGAAGTAAGAAAATACTATAGGCATACTGAAGGAAATATGAGGCTCCTGACACACTGGATAGGCCATGAACCAATATCCATTAAACACATCAGATGCCAGATTAGGAAGACATCTCTAAGGCAAAGTTTACAACCTCTAACCCATCAGACATAGTTGGGATGTAATTCCCATCAAACCTCACTGGTGGCTTTTCTGGCCAGGGCAAATGGAAGATGCAGTCCAGTAACATTTTATGGTTTTCCCCCCTCAAATTCTTACCTCATCGGTGTCAAATCATTATGTCCTACAAATCCACTGCTTGGATGGTAATCTCCGTAGTAACTTTGGATCCAGGAATTTGGCCCTTTGCCCCAGGTATCTCTTTCTCTTGGGTCTACATACTCAGAGAGAATATAAAGAAACAGCTCTACTTCCAGGCATCAGTA